TAAAAATTTTATGAGTATTTCCAGGTAAGTACCCGAAAGTTTGACCTGTTCTTTGGGGAAATATCAACTGGTTAAATAAAATGAAAAATAATGTACAACTTTTTAATTAAATAATAATGGAGAATATTTTGTATAATTGAGAGCAGAATTAAACTTCTTCATTAATGGAGTCTAATGTGGCTATTATAAACCTAATAATAATTTTATATTACACTTCACACAGAAAATATGGTCTATGTATAATAAGAGGGTTATTTAGCTCAAATAAAATATTTTCTAACATAAAAATTTGTTCCATATAGATAATTTCAAATGAAAAATAAAAAAATTGAACTTGCCAACAAAAATGAAAATCAGTTATTATCATCCAAAATATTATAATCGTTATCATCATCACTGCCATCACCATTAATTGTTATTATGATTGGACTTATTTCGTTTATTTTATTTTCACGAGTCCACCAATCTTCTATTAGTTTCTCGCACTTGGATATACATTTCCGCCACACTTCTGGAGTTTCAATTGAAAGTGCTTTACGCCAAGTTTCTAGAACTGCATCCTCACTATAACCATTAGGCCCAATATGGTTGTCATAATATTGTTTTGCTATTCCCCATATATATTCGATGGGATTAAACTGGCAATGATATGGTGGCAGACGTAAAACTTGATGACCGTAACTTTCAATAATCTGATCCACAACAAAGGTTTTTGGTTTTGCGTGTATATTTGCCAAGCGTAATAATTCTGATTTTAATATATATTGAGGAAATGGTATATGTTCCTCTGTCAACCATTCTTTAGTTTTATCAACAGTCCAAGAATTCGTTGGACTTTTGTTTAGTACTTCAGAATGGTAAGGTGCATTGTCTAAAATAATTACGCTGGGCTCACTTAAACTTGGAAGAAGTTTTTCATACAACCATTTTACAAACATTTCTGTGTTCATATTATCGTGATAGTCACTGGATTTTGATTTAGATGAAAATATTAAATCAGCACCTTCTATAAAACCCGATTTCCCTCCTGCATGTAAAATTATATGTCACTTCCCTTCTCCATCGGTATGTTTGATGGACTTTACGTTATCATCTTGCCATATTCTTTTGGTTGCACCCCTAGAAAATATCCATGTTTCGTCTAAATACATAAAATTCGCCTCTTCTTCTTTAAATTTGGAATATTTTCTTAGACAGTTAATTCTTTTGTGCACGACAGAACTTCTTTCACAAAGGGCCTTTCTGTTATCCTCCTTCTGAAATCTGAAACCCAAGTTATGTATTACTTGCCATAGACTTGTTCTGCCAATGTCGTCAAATTTTCTATCTAATAATTCCGAGAGAATTGTATTTAAGGTCACATGTTCCTTGTTGGACCTCATTCAAATTTCTTTCCATCTGGAATATCTTTCGTTTTCAATGATGGGCGAGTTTTGCGGTGATCTTCTTTCAGCAGTTCATTATTGTGATTTTGTAATACTCCTCTTAATTTGGTTTCACTAACTCCTAGAGCATCGCATACGCGTTGTTGTACAGACATTACCGATTTTAAAGGACCGCCATTTTCTTTTTCATTTGTAAAATACTTATGTACACTACAAATTAGACTATCTACATCTAACACACGTCTAGGCATTTTTAAAATTTCCACTAAATTTACAATATACATTCAATGTCTACACTTGCAATGAATCAATTCAACTGCAATATTTGTAACAAATTTAGTACCTACCCTAATGTTATTTTAATTTAAATCTGACCATTAGGACAATTTTACCTAATTTCTTGGGAAGAGGCTTATTGGAACTGGTTGTCAATGAATAATTTTAACAGACTGTAAAGTAGTTGCTGAATCTTTTTCGGGTAAGGTGTTCAACCCAATCATTCCGTTTTAGTCCGGACACTGTTTAAGTTTACTTAAATGTCCTGTTTATAGTATTGTCCTGATTTTTCTCGGACTTAAGCATTAATCGAAAATAGGTTAGCTTAAAGATATTTTTCGTCATCGGGCAACATCGCTTTCGAGCTAAAATGAATAATATCTATCTCCTTTATCCCGTATTACTGTTAGACAAGGAGAGGCTGTTTCTTAACAGTTCTGTCCGTCTTATGCCATTAATAAATCTTTGGAGAAGTCCTACTTTTTCTCTAAGACAGTCAGTTTCTATTTTTGAGTCGAATTGTGCATGTTTTTATATTTTCTATTCTATATTTGCGTGATTGTTCAAATATAATTATTATTTGTACACTTCGGAGATGTAGCAATTCGTTTATAAAATAAAAAAAAAATTATAATAATAATGTAATATTCTTTCAAATTCCATTTTCAAAATTTCTCAAAAATATCGGCTAAGATCATCCCTTTCCATAAATTTACATATTTCTTTAAACTGACAGAAAATAATAATAAATAATAAGGTAATATTCTTTTAGATTCTATGCTCAAAACTTAAATTTCTACTATATTTCTGATCTCTTCTTTTAGTAAATCCAGTCCTTATTCTTCATTCGGTTGAATTTTTTTTTTCGAGCTGATCTGCAAAGATGTCAGCCTTTTTGTTTATTTGATCTTGCCCAGTTTTCGTTGTCTTCTTTTATTGGTGACATGTATTTAAGTTTCCTAGTCACTGTCCACAGATAGTAATCAGTATTTTTGTAGTTTTGTCAATTTTCTATTGACTCATTTTTAATAATGATTATTTCTCTTTTTAGTTATGTTATTGTATTGACAACTACTTTATCTTCTGTGAATCTGGTGATTTGCCATTTTTTTTCTTGCTTTTCTCTTATTACTTATTATATTATAAATCGCCTACCTTTTTCTTGTTATTTCTGGTGTATTGTTCCATGACGCTTCTTATATATCAATGACAAATTTTTCCAGATCGAACGATAGTTGTTCTTTTGTTCTTAGTAGTGAACTTAGCAAGATAATGAACAAAACGAGAATAATTAAATAGACATGACAACAGCGAATATTAAATCTTTTGGGACCCTTAGAATATGTCTTATTTACCAAAAAACAATATTTGTTTGTAGTTACATCTTATGTTATCTCTGGTACGCATCCTTATAAAGATAATACATATTGTAGATATTTTAGAATAAAAAATATTGTGGGTAGTAACAAATCTTTTTGTTTTCTACTGTCTAATTTTTGAATATGTAGAACGTAGAACACGGTCTTTATATATACGCATTTATTCACCTTGTATACATTTTCAAAATTGGTTTTCACGGTAACTTGTATAGGCATTTCCATTAAAATTTCAAAATCGTTATACCTTTGTACATTATTTGCAAGATCATAAATGAAGCTACCATTCTAACAGGATAAAATACGTTACAATATACCTATGATGGCATTATAAGAAGGTTACGGAAACTTTCATTCGCTTCATCTGAATCGATAGTTGTTTAACATGTAAGGAAAGTCATCCGTAAAGTTGATGGGTTTTTTTTCCCACCGACATCGATAAAATTATCTCCTTTTGTAGAGACAATGAAAGGGCGATATAAAAGAAATAAAAAGTGCCGTCATCGGCCTCCGTTATCAAAACAAAGTACTCTCGGTTCATGAAATCGGCCTCGTTATTGATGTGTACGCGGTGCGCAGGCTCGGATCCAACGTGACGGCATCTCGCCGGAAGCTCAGACAGAGATGGATGGCGACCAAGGGTGGCCCCGTGATACCAGCGAGCGAGGACTGAGAGAAAATTGTAGCGCGGCAGCATGAATCCCACGTGGCGGATCAACCATTGCCGGCGTCTTGGCAACGTCTGAGAGGGTGCAAAGCGGCTTTTTCCTTTTTAGGGATTACTTTTTGTGTTGGATTTATTGTGGTAATAAAGTATTTATATTTTTCTAGTTGGCTGAACTCGATCTGTCTTTCTGGTTGTCTGGTATCAACATTTTATGTTTGCCGAATGGTATGGGTATAATAGCTATGTTCGCGGAACCGATTTCGAACATATTCTGAACACTAAAGTGACAATTACACTGCATATATTAACTGTATTTGCATTTTACCTTAGCATTCAGAATACGTTCGGGATCGGCTCCGCTAAAATAGCAGCAACACGTGGAAGAAAGTGTCTCTCGGAGTCTCACTTGCCTCAGATTTTGGTCAAAAACCAGGTTCATCTAAAATAAAAGTAACATAAACATTGGCATGGGGGCCCTTGGACAAAACAAAAAGCTCGGAAACTAATTATTACTCAACACTATTTAACACAATGCGAAGCTAAATCCCAACGGCCATCTTCTTTCAAAAACCAAGTCGGAAAGGGCCGAAAAAACAAGTTATTTTTTTTAAGTGACAGTTCGATCATAGAACTGACAAATTTTTAACGAAAATGTAGCCAACCTATTAAGACCAAAAAGAACTAGTGTTCAGCCAGTTTCTCGTGTCTCATATTTATGGTCAAATATAATTAAAGAAAAATAATTATTATGCAAAATAAAAGAAATGGAATGTTAAAATATTAAAATATAACCCTTACTCTATTCCTATGGTTATTTACCAAATTATGCTGTGCCTCTAGACAGATCAAACGAACGTAGCTATTTGTGAATTATGAATTGTACTAGACTGGCAACACTAGTTTGGCAACATTGTTTGAGAGCGGCGCACCAATTAATGTGTTCTTTAACAGTTTGAAGGATCTGTTGGCGTGTTGTCTTCTGTTTTTAGTTAAATGCATTCGGCATATCGTCTCACCCGTGTTAGGCTCACTCATCATAATGCGCCACAGACACAGTATACTTAGGTATACTGTGAGACGATCAGCCAGAGGACAATGATGTACAAAAAAATATAGATTAACACGTATGAAAATAAAAATATTAAAATTAAATTTATATTTTTATGTTATTTATGTTATATTAAAATAATGTGTTTTTATGAAATTTAACTGGGCGTTCACTGCACAAATGATCCAATGGAGAAACCGCCCCTGCCTTTAAGTTCTAATGCAATAATTGTTATTTTATTTTTCCAGGTTGGATAAAACTCTTCAAGACATCGTTTACAAGCTTGTGCCAGAATTATTTTTAAGAGAAATGACCAGGCGGAAACAGTATTACCAACAGTATCCTCAAATTGTTCCTAGACTGGCACCCGAAGAGCGAGGAGAAGATACAGAACGAACCATCTTCAATCCGCATGACTGCATTAGCTTATCAATGGAATATGTGAGGTATGTATCTAATTAAATTTAAAACTTTCTATTTTGTTATGATAATTAATTGTCTTCTGATATTTTTGCCATCTCGTATTTATCATCAAATAATGTTTGATCGATCTGAAATATTATCGATACCATTAATTTGATCATGAAATTCTGTTTAATTGAGCTTTTTATGAATAAAGATCGCACTATAAAAGAAATATTCGTTAACCCCGCTTATCTACGCCTTCCGCCACAATATGTCGCCGTGATGTAGTATCAATCGACATAATATATCATATCTTCTTTTTATAGTATCATGGATATGGATATATTACAACTTTTCTCTTTTTGACTTCAACGATCTTATAAACAGACTGGGATGAGATATACGAATTCTTCTCAGTTAATATCTCAAATTCCAGCAAGATTATGAGTTTTTGCTTTAAAATAACTGAATAATATAGAAGGATGAACCCTGTACATCGGATATTTTTTTTATTTTTAGATATGATGTAATTATTGTATCAGAAATTATAGAATAATTTAATTTTGTTTTTGTAAAGAGTAGGAGCGTTTGAGTAAACATTTTCGTATCATTTTTATAAACGTATAATAAATGTTTTTTAAATGATCGGTTATTATTAACTAAATTAGGACCCAAAAATGATAGTTTTCTGAAATGTTTAAAACATATTTAATAATTTTGGCTCAAAATCATAAACTAAAACCTTCCATTTTCCAAAAATACTATACGGTTTCATATCAAAAGTTCTAAGAAATCGAAACAAACATGATTTTAATTAGTTTGCACCTAAATCCACGCGATACCATCTCTTGATTATTTTTTTGACAACCCCCCATTTGAATAATTCCCACTTCAAGCGTTTCTGATACGTATGCAACAGGTGTGACACTTTTTATCGACCGAGAGCAACCCTCTTTAATCATCAACCCTTATTCAAATTAACGGTGCTGAAAAAGGGAGTTAACAGTAGGTCTGGAATAATTATTTGTCTAAGATCAGTTTTATAATTAATAGAACCAATTATTATATTTATATCAGATTTTATCATAGTTTCTTAGCTTTGGTTGTATACAAAGTGAGTTTTAAGTATGGAACACCCCAATTATCTCGGAAACTGCTTGCTCGATTTTTATAAATTTTGGTATGTAAAGGTTTTGTAGTGCAGCCGATATTATGGTTGTATTTACATTGTTGTCAGATCTTTCGGTTTTCTGGAAATATAATGAACTTTGTTATTTCAAATGGATCACCCCGTATATTTTTTGTTTTTTGAAATCCTTAAGAAATACTGATTATTTTTCATGTAATGTTCCCTATACCTAAATGCTATATTTTCGGAGTTATAGCTACATTTACATTATCTCCGTGGAAGTTAAAATAATACATTTAGATGGCTGTGATTGATATAACAACTAATAAATTATTATTGTTGGTGTTTATTGAAAGTGAGAAATAACCTGTACCATCTCTTCCCTTCTAAAATTCAAGAAAAAATATATTCATCATATTTGTAAGGGTAAAAAATGTGTCCAATCTTTTACGGGAAAAGTTAACTGGCATTTGTTTCCGAGTTTCTTCTGTTCGCATTTTCATCTGAAATAAAAAAAAAAGATCAGTAATAATACATTTATGCCTGCAATTAAAAATAAAAATACTTTCTCGGTTTTTTGACTGCCAAAAATCACTTACGAAATGTTCGTGATTCTAAGATTTCAGTAGGTATGGATTAGCTACCTACCTTTGACACTCGAGGAAGATGGAAATGTAGGATAAAGTAGCAACAATAATTACCTATCTAAATAGAAATAGCACATCTAACAGACCTATCCTATCTATCTATCTATCTGTCTATATATCTATATATCTATATATCTGTCTATATATCTATCTATCTATCTATCTGTCTATATATCTATCTATCTATCTGTCTATATCTATCTATCTATCTGTCTATATATCTATCTATCTGTCTATATATCTATCTATCTATCTATCTATCTGTATATATTGATATAGAAACCCCCTGTATATCAATTTAATAAATTTGCCCAGACTCTTAAAAGGGGTGGTTCGGTTCTAAAAATTTACAAATGGTAAAATATTTGCCAAATTTAATAAATAAAAAAATTAAATTTTAAATTCTTCAGTCTTCTCTTAGCTCCTTGTCTCCACTGTCTATATTGCCTTTACCTGTCCGCTTGTCTATCTACTCGATTCTATCTCTCTGTTGGTCTTTACTTCTGCTAATCTCTGTGTGCGTGTGATCGTGTCTCCCTGTCTCTGCTTCTACCTGTAACTGCTGCTACCAGCCCAGGCTCTGCTACTCTCTGTCTGTCACTACTTTTACCTGTCTTTGCTTATTTCTAATTAAAATTCCTCTGTACCTTTTTATTTTATTTTCTTTATTTCAACTTCTATTGTAACATCAAGCTTCTATAATAATAATAATTTATCTTTGTATTAATTTTATCTCTGGCGTTTTTTAAATTCCCCACTGACAATCTCCAATTTTACTGACAATTTTCTTTCTAAATCAACCCAAAAACCCCGACATTTTGATTTTTAACTTTAAATTTTGATTTCAAGACACTTCACCACCCCAGTATTGCTCAATTTAAAATAATAAATTTTATGACATCAGAGGAATTTCTATATCAATATATATCTATCTATCTATATATCTATATATCTATATATCTATATATCTATATATCTATCTATCTATCTATCTATCTATCTATCTATCTATCTATCTATCTATCTATCTATCTATCTATCTGTCTTTATATCTATCTATCTATCTATCTGTCTATATATCTATCTATCTATCTATCTATCTATCTGTCTATATATATATATATATATATATATATATATATATCTATCTATCTATCTATCTATCTAATCTGTCTGTCTGTCTGTCTGTCTGTCTGTCTGTCTGTCTGTCTGTCTGTCTGTCTGTCTGTCTGTCTGTCTGTCTGTCTGTCTGTCTGTCTGTCTGTCTGTCTGTCTGTCTGTCTGTCTGTCTGTCTGTCTGTCTGTCTGTCTGTCTGTCTGTCTGTCTGTCTGTCTGTCTGTCTGTCTGTCTGTCTGTCTGTCTGTCTGTCTGTCTGTCTGTCTGTCTGTCTGTCTGTCTGTCTGTCTGTCTGTCTGTCTGTCTGTCTGTCTGTCTGTCTGTCTGTCTGTCTGTCTATCTATCTGTCTATCTATCTGTCTATCTATCTGTCTGTCTGTCTATCTGTCTGTCTGTTTGTCTGTCTATCTATTTCTCTAATCTGTATATCTATGTATCTAATCTATCTATCTATCTATCTATCTATCTATCTATCTATGTGTTTGAAAGATACTTGTAGAACTGTGAATAGGATGAAAACGTTATCCATATCCTCTGTCAATTCATAGGCCTCATGTTAAAGAGCTAAGTAGGCCCTAGTACTTATAGGTACAACTTTTCTATCACACCATTTTACGTACTAGTTTTAATTTAAAAAGAACTCAAGTAGAAAAGACCAAAAATAGAAAGATGTAGAATAGCATAGCTACGCATTCTTTCAAACAGTACCTCCAAAATAATGGTGAAAGAACATTCTTATCATCCACAAACTTATTGCAATTGTAAGTTAATTTTGGAGAGTTGTCCTTTACTATAAACCTTTTACTTACTTACCCATTTTTTCTAATCTTTGTAGAGTTTTTTGTACCCTAAATAAAGCCGATATTTCTTGAAATAGTGCGTCTCTAAAACACTTTAATTTTTTTCAAGAAATCTCTGAGTAGTTTAATATTTTAATAATTAATACGTATGGATACGCTTCACTGAAAAAAAAAGGAAGAAGAAAATGTTAAAACAATTAATTTTCGAGACAATTCACACAGCCATTTAAATATTAAACAGGCCAACTTGAACTCGCTACACAAGAGTGTAGAAAAATGAGTCCCGCCGCTCGAGTGAGAACAGCTGTAGGAAGTGATTAATTACATTTTAATTAATTATTGTTAGGAGTTAGTAGATTGATTGTCTAGGTTTTAATAAATAACGAAAATGGAAGTAATACGGGAGTTGCATTAACATAATTTATCTTTGTTACCTATTATTTAATTTTTTTATAGGTATGTAAAGGGTATTTGAGTTATAAAGTACTACTCAAAAATCCCCTCCCTCTCTGTTATGTCTAGATTATTGAAATTGAAAGAAAGAAAATAAATAGTTTATAAAGCTTCTCTAATCACAGGGCCACTGTGACCAGGGGCACATGTACGGGGGTTAATGGACCTTATGGCAAGTAACGCTTAGTTTAAAAGGTTTAGGTTAATAAAGATCTAGAACCAGTTTTTATAGCAACTGTTTAAAATGTGCTCCAGCTTCTTCCTGACAGTATAACATCCTGCTGTTAAACTCTTCTCTTACTTTTTCAAATGTACCATTGAAAATCGTCCTACATTCTTAAACGATTCGTGTCAATATTGCCAGGAATTGTACCGAAACTCTTAGATTTGAGATACAAAAGAAATCTATCACCATATTCCTCATCTAGATGACAGCACATCGTGCTGCACCATAATAGTGTCCAGGAGCATCATCTTGTTGGAACGTTACCAAATTCATTTAGATTTCAAGAGTTGAAGTCTCAATTGCGTTCTGTAACATCTCCAGATAATTCACTGGTTAAGTTAGAATTCAAAATAACATGCCTAAGGGTTATCCCAAAGTATCTAGCTGGCATTTTCTGTGTATGTTTTCTACAAAATATGTTACGATTCAGTTACTTCGATAACTCACATTTTGAGTGTTAACATTTCCATTGAGAAAGACATTACTTTCAACACTAAAACAATTAGTTTTTACATATTCTTTCTGTTAGCCAATTTTACTGCATCACAGAATTGCATTCATCTGAAAACTGATGCACCATTTTTAATTTGTATGGGTGAAGTTTGTTTTTCGCTTGTGTATTGTACTTTGACTGACCTGGGTTGAGGAAAAATTAGGATTTACTATCAG